AGGTACGGCGCAGGAGAGGAAGGCCCTCTATGAGGTGGATTGATTCAGTGACTGGGATAATTTTGATGGGAGTGTCAGAGACAGTGCGATTGGCACAGGGCAGAGCGGAGTTTAGGGCTGTTGTACATAGGGTCGCTATGAGTCACAGGCGACTCGACGGCACATAACAACAACAACAAGTCTGGTAGAGAAAGTCATCCACTTTCATTTTTTTTTTCTTTCTCCAAGAAGATCTTCGCTCTTCTGTTTCTGTAGTTGTTCTAGAATCAGATTGGCAAGTTGCTTGAGGACACAGCTGCAAAACTGTTTGTTTCTACCATTCAGATTATAATAATCTATTGATCAATTTGAGAAACGTAATCTCTACATTGTCTTCCAATGAGTGAAGATAGCATACTCTCCAATTACTTAGCTACTTTCAATACCTTTCAAAAGAATTTTTCATTTTTTCTCATAAAGCTCTTTTGCAAGATTTCTTTCTAGATACTCCCCCAGTTTTTATCCTATTTTAGGTAAACAACATCTCTTTTTAAATGCACTTTGGGCTTTGTTTTGTTTTTGCCGGTAGTTTGATCTTAACATATGTGTATCTAGAGATCTCTTATTAATTCTAATCATATATCTATATAATCCTTTGAAATATCTTTAAATACAATCATATTATGTGCAAATAGTGAGTTTTGTTTCTTTTCTGACTGCAAAAACCTTTCTTTCTTTTTATTACATTATTGTGCTTCTCAGGACATCGAGTACAATGTTGAAAAGAAACGTTAATAGCAAGCATCCTTGTTTTTTTCCTCTTTCCAAAAAGAATGTAGTCTCGTGTTGTGTTAAGCATTTTTTTAAGATACCCTTTATCACTTTGAGAAGTTCTCTTTTGTTAATAACATTTACTGTGGACTGAGATTTAACTTTACCAAATTATTGCTTTGCATGTACAAAGAAAATCACAGGATTTTCTCCTTTAATCTGTTAAAGTGGTGAGTAGTGCTAATTGCCTTCCGAACCCTAACCAGCTTTGTACTTTTGAAACAAACCCAACTTGATCATGATGCATTTATTTTATACATTGGAAGATTTCATTTGCTAGTAACTTGAGATTTCTCTGTGTTCATCTCAATGAGTGATGGGATTTTGAAGATCTGTCTCACATATTTTGGGCATGTGTCAGGAGGGACCAATCCTTGGAGAAGGACATCATGCTTGGGAAGGTGGAGGGGACAGCACAAGAAAGGAAGACCTCAGATGAGATGGATTGACTCAATGACTAGAAGTAATGGCGGTAGGTGTGTTGGAGACAGTGAGATTGGCTCAAGATAGAGCAGGGTTCAAATCTATTTATAGGGTCACTTTGAGTCATAAGTGGCTCGATAGCACATAACAATAACAACGGTTAACACATTTAGCTGCTAATCTAAAGGCTATATATTCAAGTCCACCTAGAAACACCTCAAAGAAAGCTTTGGCAATATGCTTCTGAAAAGCACTCATCAAAGACCATAGAGAGTATAGTTCTGCTCTGATGCACATGGGGTCATCTGAAATCACAGCTGAACCAGTGACATCTGTTTTGTTTTCATATGCTTTTCCTTTATAAATTGGCCTTTTAGAAAAGTTTGCTTTTATTTTATTTAGTTGCAGGTCCTTGTTAAGTTTTGCTATTGGTATATCAAGGTTATGCTGTTCAGCACCAAAAAGTAAAGAAATAAAAGAATTCAAGAATATGCCTCCTCTTTGAGTAAGATACTTACATGTTCCATGAAGGTTTGATTGGATTCACCAGCAAAACCAACGAGAGATCAACATTTTTGCTACTGATTAAATTTTGGTAACAGTTATGAAGTTGTCAGGTTTTTTTTATTTCTTGGGTTGGTTCTGGTAAATTACTTTTTTCCAAGCACTATTCTTATCTGAATGTTTGGGTTTACTGGCATAAAGGTGCACATACTGTAATGTTGTCATTTAAGAGACTATCTGTACTTATGTCATATTTTTCTTTGATCATTTGTGCTTTCACTAATATTTTCCCATGGTTAGTCTTGCCAAAGATCTGTCAATTTAATTCATCTAATTGAAGAACCAATTTTTGGGTTGTTAGTCCTCTCTATTTCATTGATGTTTCCTATTTCAATTAATTCTGCTTGTTATCATACGTACAGCCTCTATTGTGCTTGATGTACTTTCTTTCTTCCCTTAACTTTTAAGGCAAATTTTTGGCCAATTTTCTTTACGATTTATCCATTTAAGATTTAAACGTTCCCCCAGGAGCTGCTTTAATATATAGAATTTTTTCTTATTGTTTAGTTCTAAATATTTCTTCATTTCAACTGGGATTTATTCTTTGACTCAAAGGTTAATTAAGAGAGTGTTTCTTAACTTGTAAACATATGTGGTATTTCTAGTTATCTTTATGAGTTCTAGCTTAATTGTGTTATAATCAGAACATATGTTGTATGATTTCAGGGTTTGGAAATTTACTGATAATTTCTTTTTGGCTCAGTATATTTAAAAATGTTCCTTATGTGCTTAAAAAGAGTGTGTATCTACAGTTGTAGGGTGCAACGCGCTGCATATATTCACTAGGGAGAGAAAGTTCATAGGGTGGTACAAATATTCTACATTCCTCATTAATTTTCTCTGCTTACATGATTCAACAGCAACTGGCTTGGTTTGATTTATTCTAGCAATTACTAAGAGGGTTAGGATCTAAAAAATATCTCCCTGTATGATTATGGTTTGATCTGTTTTTCTTCACAGTCTGCCTTGAGGCTGTGTCATTGAGGGCATACGTTCTTATGTTGTTTTGTGCTTCTATAAAGGGGAAACTTTTCTTATAAAGAGTTGGCCTTCCTTGTCTCTAGAAATGCTTTTGCCTTGAAATATTTTTTTTGTCTCATACTAATTATTGGTAGTACTATGAATTTCCCACTATTCTTCTTCAACGTGTTATTCCTGGCACATCATGGGTCATATGATTATTCTATTCAAAATGGCCAATAATGGTCCTTCTTAGCTCGCTGATGTCCAGGATGTAGATCTTTATGCCTTCTGTTTCATTTTTTTTTTACAACCTCCAGTTTTTCTAGGTTCATGCTTCGTACATTCTGTGTTCCAGTTATTAATGGATGTTGTATCTGTATCTCCGCCTGTTTGGAGTGCTTTCCAATAGTAGAGATTCATCTTTCAGAACTATTATCTAATCATGTTCCTCTGTTATTCACAGAGTGACTAACACTTTAGAAGTGGATGATCAGGCCTACTTCTTAGACTGTCTCAGTCTAGAAGGTCCACTTAAACCTGGTCCTGCTGGTATTTGAAATAGCAGTGGTGTAGATTCACAGCAGCACATAAGCCATCCCAGTACAGTAAACTGACAGACAAGTGCTGTACCTGTAAGACTACACTGTAAAAGAAGCAAGCAGACAAATATCAAATAAAAAGGCATTCTATGGGAAATAGAAAACAAACCGTCTGGCCTGGGACAGTACATATGTCAGCCCAGTAGAAGATTGGATTTGGGGTGCCCAATCAGAGATGCTCATCTGAGTGGTGACCAAAACCCTGAAATGCGAGCCAGATCCTGTGACACCGCTTCTGGTCTAGTGTGTGTCAAGAATATGTCCAGAGGAGAGGAACACTCAGCCTTCAGCAGAGATTCTTCTGGCCTCAGAGGTGCCTAGGCTAGTTTGCCTGGCTAGAGATAGTGTCTTCGCCAGTCTAGGGGCAAAGTACCCAGTCAGAAATGGCTAGTGTAAAGAGACAGCCACTGGCATGTCCAAACATAAACAAACATGGCTGTGGGAGTGTCAGAAAATGTTGCCCAGTAAAACAGAAGGGCCCTAGTCAGAGGAAATGCCCTATTGTTCTGGGGCACTCTTGAAGACACTTTGGGATTTTGTCTTGTCTGTGCAGTTAAACTCTTAGTACCAATAAATCACAGATGTGTATCGTTTCAGAGCTGGTGGGGCACAGATAATGTTCAGTGTCCCAAGATGAAAAATGTCATGACAGATGCTTATCCAAATGCATCAGGTCATACCCTGTAAGTAAAAAAATGGCCCTGTTCTCACTTATTTGTGAGCTCCACCACACTCCACCCCTACAGAAGGGCAGCCCTTTTCCTCTCTGCCCTCAAGAGAGATCAGAACACTTTAATGATAGTGAGAATACCATCCCACTAGACAACTTCTGACTCAGTCAGCAGAGTCTGTTGCTGCTGAGAGATCACAGAAAGTGAAACATACCTTCCAGTCTCTGAACATACTTTTTCAGAAGTCATAGAGTATGTCTTAGAGTAGGAGTTGGCTGTGCTTCTCCCAAAGCTTTGGTGTCTGGCCAAGACTCCAGATGAAAGGTGATGGATAAGAATTGTTAACAGGCTGTTAGGGACCTCTCCAAAGTACTGAGGAGCAATGGTGTCACTCTGGAGGCTAAGGTGCATCTGATACAGGCCAAAGTGTTTCCAATCAGTTGTTATGCATCAAAGAGTTGGACAATGACTAGGGAGGATAGAAGGAGAATTAATACCTTTGAGCTGTGGTGCTGGAGAAGAGTGTTGAATATCCCATGGACTGCTAAGAAAACAAACAGGTTCAATCTGGAGAGGGTTAAACCAGGCTGCTCCTTGGAGGCAAGGATTCTGAGGCTTCATCTGATATACTTTGGACATGTTGTAAGGAGGGACCGGTCCTTGGAGAGGGACATCATGCTTGAGAGGGTGGAGGGACAGCACAGGAGAGGAAGACCCTCTATGAGGTGGACTGATTCAGTGACTGGGGTAATCGGGATGGGTATGTCAGAGACAGTGCGATTGGCACAGGACAGAGCAGAGTTTAGGGCTGTTGTATGTAGCGTCACTATGAGTCACAGGTGACTCGACGGCACATAACAACAACATAGCGTCTATTTCTCTACAGCTGCGTGTCTTCAAGTTAGCCAAGTCGTGGCCAACCTTAAACACTCTCATTAAGATCATCGGCAACTCGGTGGGTGCGCTGGGGAACCTCACCATCATCCTGGCCATCATAGTGTTTGTCTTCGCTCTGGTGGGCAAGCAGCTCCTGGGGGACGACTACCGCAAGATCTTGTACAACACGTCCTTTGTAGACAAGCCTCGGTGGCACATGAACGACTTCTTCCACTCCTTCCTCGTCGTCTTCCGCATCCTCTGTGGGGAGTGGATTGAGAACATGTGGGTTTGCATGGATGTCAGCCAGAAATCCGTGTGCCTCATTCTCTTCTTGATGGTGATGGTGCTGGGGAACCTGGTGGTGAGTGGGGAACCCCAGTGGGCATACTGCCACATAGACAATGCGGAGGCTTCGGGGGGTATCCTAAAAGCCTTGATAGTGCACATTTGTATGTATAAATTATCCCTCCATCTTTTTTTAAAAAAGTGTATTGATTTGCTTACAAAGTTCGTATATATTGTTTCACACTGTGCTTCATTCATATTGTGTTTCATACAATAATTCACATGATTGTTGTTGTTGTAAAGTGCCATTGAGTCATAGGCGACTCATAGCAACCCAATGAATGAAAGAGCTGCACACTTGTATAACTTTCATTGTTTCTCCACATTGATAGAATTTCTGGAGGCAAGCCTTTTCAGAAGTAGATGCCATTCCTGCTTCCAAGCTTGCTTTAATCGGGAAGCTCCACCAAACACTGTCCACCATGGGTGACCATTATTGCATTTGACACATCAGTTTCACTGTGGTTAGCATCACAGCAACCATGAGTTACCACTGTCCAGCAAGTAGACAGACCAGTGCTATACCACCTAAAAGAATGTTTGACAAAAAACAATTAATACCAGGCCTAAGGGCTTCAGGTTAATCACCATTGGACTGTGCCCATCATTTCCCCGTCTTTCCAGACCCTTACTAGATCTTCATCTTTCCAAAGTTACATGAACACATTGTAAGAAGTTTCCCTTGAGAGGCTGCCTGACTTGAATGGAAGGAGCCCACATGATAGGTAGAGAAAGACAGCCTGTTTAGAACCCCAGTTCAATATTTACCAGTTGGGTGATGGAGAGCAAGAGATTTCATTTTCATTACCTCTCATTTCCCTAGAATCAAGAAAATAATGCACACTCATAGTCTTACTAAAAGCCAATTATAGGAGATGACATATGCAAATTGCCTAGTGCAACATCTGAACCATGATGGGAACCCCAGAGTGGTGACCTTCAATTGTTGTTGAAGGAAAAATTTCCTTTCTTGCTATAAGGGGGCCTCGGACGATATTTTCCCTCAAGGACGTAAGAGCTACCCACTTCTCCAAGCTGCATAGGCCCAAGCTAAGGACAATGATTGGATAAGACAAAAAAGAGAACTTGGATTATGAACCATCTCAAAGGCTGCAATAGTAATGAAAATCATCCATTCACGTTTTAAAAGATCCCTTTGGAGGCCTTCTTCCAAACTAGTCTCTGTCCCAAACTGGCTCCTTGTCCAAAGCTCATCTCCACCCACTCCTGCTCTGGACATCCTTCTCTTCACCTCAGTAGTGGCTGGCTGCTCTGTGGGATGTGGTCTATATATACCTATTCATTGTCCCGTAAGTCAACAACCACAAAGGGGTCCCAGCTCTCAGAGGCCCCGTGAATGAACGTATTTCCTTCCTCTCCAGCCCTACCTTCATCACCAATGCCAGCATGTGGTGCTCTGTGCCTGTTTCCAAAGGCAAATCTGACCTTGGTGACTGGGAGGGTGGTGGTGAGAAAGATGCTCAGAGCTCCAGGCGAGAAGTTGTCCCCAAAGGTCAACTCCCCCATCCCACAAGAGTTTTAAGAACCTGAGAAAACTAAGCCAAAAGAAGGGATGAAACAATAAATTTACACTCTTCAAAGTCATGCCCGATCCTGAGCTGCACATGCCTTCTGCCTGTGTTCCTGAGTGAGGGGCTGTCTGAAACTCCCACCCTCCACGTTCTACCTTTCTTCCAGGCTGAGCTCACCATCCCTGCAGACACAGGATACAACCCTCGGGCTGAAGCCCGCATCTCTGAGCACTTTCACACCCCTTCATCAATGCATTTACACAACGACTCAGAAAGGCAGAAAACCCCACTCCTTGTTTTCAGAGGAGCGAGGAGATGTGTCTGAGATTGCACAAGGCGGCATAGAACCAAGGCTTTGGCGAGGGATGGTGGTCCCAGTCAGACCTGAGCTTACACCTCTGTTCCCCTCACTGTCTTGCCGTCCAGCTGGTGGACTCAGACCTCTGATGGGCTGCTTTTCCCCCTCCCATTCCTTCTCTTCAGGTGCTCAACCTGTTCATTGCCCTGCTGCTGAATTCTTTCAGCGCTGACAACCTCGCAGCCCCGGAGGACGACGGGGAGGTGAACAATCTGCAGGTGGCGCTGGCGCGCATCCAGGTGTTCAGCTGTCGCTGCAGGGAAGCCTTCTGTGGCTTCTTGCACAGGCCATGCCTGCTGCCCAAGCCCAAGAAGGAGTCCCAGCTGGCGGTGAAAATCCCGCTCTCCAGCTCCAAAGCTGAGAATCACATTGCAGCTGACGCCGCGGTGGGGAACCCTGGAGGGACCCTGGCCCTCAAAGGCCCCAAGGATGAGCACAGCGACTTCATCACCAATCCCAGTGTGTGGGTCTCTGTGCCCATTGCTGAGGGTGAATCGGACCTTGAAGACTTGGAGGAGGAGGAGGAGGGAGAGGATGCTAAGAGCTCCCAACAAGGAGTGGTCCCCCAAGGTCAGGTAAGGGTCTCCCCCAAGGGACAGTCACACTTCCGCCTCAGGGTTAGAGTGATACAGGGCAAGGGGGACACTTTGGTAAAGACGTATATCATCTCCAAGACTAAGGGGAGTTCTGGTGGTGTATCCAGTCATGTTGTTAATTACTATCAGGGCTGGTTCAGTCTTGAAGAGCCAGGCAGAGGAGAGCCTGATTTAAGCAAGCTTGAATAATGCGAGACATTCTAAAGAAGGTCAGTATTTGAGCTGGAAGAGTCAAAATAATCCCAAAACGGGGATGGGGCAGAGGTTGTGTCCAGGCTAGTCTGGGACACTTAGGGTTTGTCTTTGATTCAGCTACCCTATCCTCTCAGCCAACCCAGGCCCCGTGTGCGAGATGCTAGTGGATTCCTGGAAGAACAGGACTCTTCAAAACGACTATGAGATATCATCTCACACCAGTAAGAATTGCAAAATGTAACAGAACAGCAAACAACAAATGCTGGTGATATTGTGGAGAAACTGGAACACTTATTCACTGTTGGTGGGACTATAAAATGTTGCAACCACTATGGAAGGCTGTATGGTGCTTTCTCAAAAAGTTGCAAATAGAAATACCATTTGACCCAGCAATTCCACTACTAGGAATATACCCTAAAGAAATCATATCCGCCACCCACACAGATATATGCACAGCCATGTTTATTGTGGCTTTGTTCACAATAACAAAGAGTTGTACACAACCCAGGTGCCCATCAACAAACAAATGGATAGAGAAGCCGTAGTATATTCCCATAATGGAATACTATGCAGCATTGAAAAACAAGGAACTCATGAAATATTATACAAAATGAGTGACCCGGAGGACATCATGTTGAGTGAAATATCTCAGTCACAAAAGGACAAATATTGCATAGGGCCACTGTTGTAAAACGGGACTGATATTGGGGTTGAGGGAAGACAGAAAAAGAGGGAATAAATCATGTATACTGCATTGAAACAGATGAGGGAGAGAACTGTTTAAAAGAGATATATGATTAGGTATTACTGTCATGACAGGAGTTCAGAATGGAGGTGCATAGTGGAGTGGACTTGGGGGGAGGGATTGTATAACAATGAAGGAATTTTTCTTTTCCTTTTCAAAGAGAAGAGTGAATTGGAGGGGAGGAGGTGTGCAGGGAGAAAAGTGCAACAATAAATGAATGGAAATCCAAAGTCTCTGTAAACTTTCATTAAAATGAATAATAACTTTTTAAAAAAAGAACCGGACTCAGCTGATCGTCCAAGAGCAAGACTCATCTAATCTCCAATATCCTCAAAAAGTCTGGTTTTTACGTTAGTCAGGGATGGGCTCCTAGACTTTGGGTGTGTTGTCTGGACAGGCCAGTCCTGGGGAAAGGCATCTTGCTGGGAGAGGACCAGAAAAGGAGAGCAAGACCCTCAACAGGATTGACGCAGTGACAGAAACAACAGGCTTAAATATCTCCTCGATGGCGAGGATGGCACCGGACAGGGCAGGCTTCCGATCTGTTGTTCATAGGTTCACTGTGAGTCCTAATTGACTCAACATAGCACCTCACAACAACCATGTGGATCTAGGCTTCCCCTACACGTGATATCATAGAGATACTTTTAAGAAAAGTGACTTGACTCCATTGTCGACAAGTAGAAACAGGCTCATAACTGACTCTACAGAAGGTTTTTCTGAAACCGTAAATCACGGGTGAGAAGACTGACCATGTTTGTCTGGCTTTTTAAAAAAAATGCATTTATAGGCTGCTCTGGTGGCCTAGTGGCAAGAAGTTGCACTGCAATCCCAGAGGTACTCGGTTCGAACCCACCAGATGCTCTGCTGGAGAAGGAGGAGCAGTCTCCTCGTGTACCAGTCAGATCCAATTTGGCAGTACACACACATGCACACACGCACGCACAAAATAATAATATAATGAAATTTTTTTAAAATGTCTTTATATTTTATTTGAGAGAAAGTTTACAAACCATACTGTTTCCAATTATTCATGCACATTTTGTTTTGAACAGCCACAGATACACTTCCTTTGGGTTAACAGGGCAACTGGCTGGGGACTGTACCACCAGAACTCCCTAGATAGATAAAGCATGTCCCTTTTACCACCAAAAAAAGAAAAATATTGGGTAGAGAAGCTGTGGTATATTCGCACATTGAAAAACAAGGAACTCATGCAATATTATTCAAAATGGGTGACCCTGGAGGACATTATGCTGAGTGAGGTATCTCA